CACACACACACACACACACACACACACACACACACACACACACACACACACACACACACACACACACAAATCTGTAACACTGGCCCTCGTTAACATCGTATCCGGCCTCAAAGGTAAAACTTTAAATGTGAAATAGATGATTTCTCTTTTTGTCTCTGGATTTATTTCATTTTTCTCCCAACAGCTGGAGAAATTTTTATGGCAAGAAAAAGAAGTTTGGATTTTTTCAGTAATCGGTGATTTTGGTGTGGAGAAAGCAACTGAGAATCAAACGATCATTTTCTGTCTTTTCTTCTTATTGTAAAGTCAATTACTTGGATTTGTAGTGAGTTTTCTTTTTAACTGATTTGTTGGATTGCATCTCATATGATAAATTAAAAAGTAGTTGGTAGAGAGTAATGCATGAGTATCAAATACTAAGGATGAGTCTTTCTAAATATAATTCTTAACATAATTAATTAATATATGAATRTAAATAAAATAATATAATTCTTCATCTGTTAGTTTATGTGTGTTCTATTGGCCTTTGGCTTGGATCAAGCTTTAAACCCTCCTGTATCTGAGTTTGACCTCTTCACTCTAGACTTTTATTATTAGTGATTTAAAATCCTAAAATCTTAAACAGAGAGAAAAATAAAGCCAAATATTCAGCTTTATCATTGCCTGAACACGTAAAACCCTCATTGGTTTTTCTGACCCCTGAATGGATGCAGTACAGAGGCAGTTTACCTTCAGTCAGGTTGTATAATTTAGTTCTAGCCTTCATCAGTCAAAGAGTTTCAGATTTCCTRACCATCCCTCGTCTTCTCTCTCCCCTCAGGCTGTACTTGGAGCAGAGCGACTTCCACGAACGCTTCTCCGGAGGCGACTTCATCGTGGACCGCTCGTCTCAGTCTGTCACCTGCCAGACGTTTGAGCTCACCCTGCGCTCCTGCCTCTACCCCCACATCGAGAGGCGATACATCGAGTGCTGCGGGAACCTGATGAGGACTCTGAAGAAAGACTACAGGTACGCGCCGCTCTGAGGTTGGATGGTGACGTTTTGTTTCTTGTTTGTGCTGGATCGCGTCTCCTGGATGTTTCCTCCTGCAGGCTGCTGGAGTACCTGCAGGCCATGAGGAACTACTTCCTGCTGGAAGCTGGAGACACCATGTACGACTTCTACACAGCCATCTTTGAGAAGGTGCAGGAGAAGGAGAGCTGGCAGCAGCCCTCCTTTCTCAACGTGCAGCTGCAGGAAGCGGTGGGACAGCGCTACCCAGAGGATAGCAGCAGGTACTGCATTTCTTCAGCAGAGAGGAGTCAGATTAAAGATGTCAGGGGAAAACTGTTTAAAACATACGGAAGAGGATCACGGCCACTGGGAAAAAAAAAAGAATTCTGACTTTAATCTCAAAATTCTGAGAAAAAGGTCAGACTTTAATTTCATAATTCTGACTTTTTACTTAAATCTTCTGAGAAAATAGTCAGAATTCAGAGAAAAAATTCTGACGTTTTTCTCATAATTCTGAGATTAAAGTCAGAATTCTTTTTTTTCTTTTTTCAGTGGCCCTAATCCTCTTCCATAAAACCATCTTATATTCGCAGATTATCAGTATTTCTGGAGAACATCGACCCCTCAAGGAAAAAGCATCCAGTGAACAATTTAGAGGCTCTAACCCTGAGTTACAAAGTAAACAACATAAACATGTTTAATTGGTTCGTATTTTTACTTTTTTAAATCGTCACGTTGACAATTGTTTGGTTTTCTCCACAGGTCCCCTGGCCTGTCGACATYGTGATCAGCTCCGAGTGTCAGAAGATTTACAATCAAGTGTTTCTCCTCCTGCTGCAGATTAAATGGGCTAAATACAGTTTGGATGCACTTCGATTCAGTGGTAAAACTTGAAGAAATCACTTCCTGAAAATAGTAGTTCTGTTATATGTCCTAACTCAAACGTGTGTATGAAAATAAATCTGGTCGGGATGAAAATCTTCTCATCTCTCTTGTTTTTCTTTTAGATTTCACAGGCATTGCAAAGAAGCTGGAAGGATCCGTGGCTGAAGAAGTAAAAGTGAAAGAGCCAGTAAACCAGCAGATCCACAGGATGTGTCTGCTCCGAGTTAAACTCATGCATTTTGTCAACAGTCTTCACAACTACATCATGACCAGGGTGAGCAGATCGCTGCAGATGTTATTAAAGTTACAACACGGTTCATGGGACTAACAATCATTTTAGGACTGTGTGAAATTGAATTAATTATTTTTCCTAAGCTTGTGTTGCAATCTAAAAAAATCCATGTATTTTCAACAGCTGACTTTAGTAACACTAATACGTTCTGCAGTAGTTCATCTTGTTGATGAACTACTGCACCGATCTGAACTCTGTTCTGTTCATGTTACAAGTTTGATTGTCTATATTTGAGAGTTATTCTTCTTATCCTTTACTTTGCTGAGTTCATGTTTCCTTCCATCATAAGCAAACATTGTGTTTTCCCTCCTAACATGTTGCCTCTGTGTCTTAGTTTATGTTTCCGTCACACTTTAATATTATTATTAATTAATTATTAATTGACTTCTTTTCCTCCAGTTCTGTGTGAATTTGCTCATCTTCCTCATTTTCATCAAGATCCTCATCTTCCTTTTCATAAAAATGTTGCCATTGATGTCCCAGAAGTTTCACAGTAAAATAAGTTAGTGCTGGGCGGTATACCAGTTTGTACCGAATACCGTTTTTTATTTTTGTTATGATATGAATTTTCTGAATACCGACATACCGGTTTAAATAGCCTGAACACGTGCGGAACGTTTCATCGTGGCTGCCAGTGAACTATTTCCCGGGGGACACTTTTCCTCACTGCACAGCTATGTGCGTTAGCATGCTAATGTTATTGTTGCAGCGGCGGGTGGCGATTCCGCTGCTTATATTGACTGACGTTTAAAAAACATCCCRTTTTCGCCATTGCTGAATGTAGTAAACACCTCTTCAATGACGTGCACAGTTAGATTTTACATGCGACGTTGATATGGAGATGTGGAGACGCATAGAGACTTTAGCGTGCTTCTATTGTGAAAAGCCCGGGGGGGGGTTGTAGAGGAATTGAGTTGACTGGTGTGCAAGGTGAGTCGTGATGTTAATCTTTATTAAATAACATAAAACAATAAACCCAATAATAATCTTTTCTTAACCCTCCTCCTTCACTACCGGACCAAAATGTGTGATTACTGTCTCCAACCAGGAGGAGGAAAAAAGACGTTTAGAGGAGGGAAACAGAGACACAGACAGAGGTACAGTAAAAGAGAAAAGTCAATAAGCAGGGTTTGTACATTTTATTATCAGCTGAGCTGTGCTGAAAAGAAAAATACTGTGAAACTGGTGAAAATGTTGAAAATACCGTGATATAAAATTTTGGTCATACCGCCCAGCTCTAAAATAAGTTATACCCTTTTTTTGAGACAAAGCCACACGCTTCCACTGGCAAGACTGAAAATATGCAGAATAAAAGCCTCAACACACGACTGTTCAGTGCAATGACTTATGGTTTAGTGGTTYAGTCCTTCAATAACACATTGGTATGTGTCTCCTACATCACAGGACCTGCAGTGGGACTATTGCACACATGTACATTATGATGACAATGATCAAACGATACATCTGCAGCTCTAGTTCATTACATTTAGAGCTCATTTCAAAGGAGTTATTTAAAGTGGGTAGAGTATTACACACTTAGTTTTTGTGAATATTTCTGTTTTGTTGCTTCATAACCTGGAATTTAATATATATWTTTTTTATTTGATCATAAGTAATGGAATTAATAAATAATAGTTTCTTTACATAATAAAAATTAAAAAGTTGAAAAG